AGACAGCAGCTAACTAGATCCATCTGTTCATAACATCTTCTTTCAGCTGCTCCCTTCAGGGGTCACCACAGCTATTCATTTGCCTCTAGCTCACCCTGTTACCCTGTCACACCAACCCTCTGCACGTCCTCCTTCAATACTTCCTTGATGCTTCTTTGTGGCCTTACTGGTGTCCTTCTGCCTGCCAGCTCCATATTCAACATCCTCTGTCCAGTATGTCCAATATCACTCAAATCCTCTCAACTTTGCCTCTCTAACTTTATCTTTTTTGTAAAACATCCCTTTCACTCTTGCTGATCGTTTCTTCACCGGCTCCACCCTTCCTGCACTCTCTTCTTCGCCTCTCTTATGCACTGTCCATTGCTTTAGATGGAGAAGTACATTCTGATATTGGATTATCTCATTTTTTGACACTGGAAGGCCACACTGACGAGAAATGAAAACTTTCCTTCATGTTGATTTTCACATTCAACTACATGGTTTCTCATGAGCTCAAGTCCCAGGACACACACAAATTTCTCGTTTCTGAGTCAGAAATCTGAACTCGTTAATGTTTGGATCTCTGTACCTGCTGATGTGCACAGGAAAAACAAACAATAAAACAACTACACTTAATGCTGGAGTCCTGAGGTCAGCTGTCAAACTGCCAGATTTTATGGCTGTTGTAATATGTGAGGTCAAGAAAAAAACATTACATCAATGTTGGCAATGACCTCTACATGAAAAGAACATTTTGTTACATGTTACATGCCCATAGGAAAATATCTCAAAGGATTTATAACAGGCAAATGTTTGGCATTTTCAATACTCAATACTGAAAATCAAAACAAGTGAGAAATTTGTATTTATGATAATCGGTTTCAGTAGAATTTAGATTCACAGAAAACACAGTATTGAAAATGGTGGTTTTCAACACTAGTTTACAGTGTGTAAACCAAGCAATCAAACAGAGACCAAGATTTTACATTTTCTTTAGTACATCTAAAAATAAGTACACTAAAATGCAAAAACAATCAAATATCCTTGCTTTTAAAATGTGCTATACTTTTTAAAATTGTCATTTTCTTTCATGTTACATTGGGGGCGTATTTTCAGCCAGCTCATAGAGCGACTGTCATTGCCAGTTAAGAGGCAGCTAACTAACTAAGAAAAAGTTGGTTAAAAGTTATGGAAAAAAAAGCTGACATATTTTAACCTAAAGATCTTTTTGTAAACATAACAGTAGATTTAATGTCTAAACCTTTCTACCCTTACCATAATCAATTGTTTTAATGTATCTATCCTAAAGCACTTTGAGGACTCCAGTACAACAGAAAAGTGCTGTATAACAATCAGTCCATCTACTATTTACCAACTAATGAAACCATGTATTTCTAATTAATAAAATTTTAAATTAAAAATGATCAAAATTTAAAAAAACAAAACAAAAATTAATCAAGTATGAAAAACATTTAGTGTCAGCAGCAATATTAATTGCTCCACAATTTTGTGCACATGGCCACGAATCACTACATGTGAGATGGAAAGATGAATCGTCTTGCAAAAAATGGATGGTACACAGGGAATTCCATGTTCAGAAATAAGTAGACAACAGCAAACTGTTGTTAGACCAATTTGAGCTGGACATTGTCTTAAACATAAGCACAACTACCATCAACTGATCACAAAAATATATACAACATAGGTAAAAAATCAAATACTTTGTGCTAGGACGCAATACTAGCAATACATACAAGATAAAAAACTTTTTTTAAAGCCTGTTGATTAAGAGGTTATTAAATCCAGATGTTTGTGAATTTGCAAGAACCCACTGGCATTTTTTTGGGCAAAGTTTGGGATCTATGCATGTAGCCTAATTAACCCAGTAAATCTAAGAGATCTTTATGCAATGTCTTTATGTAATCAATGCTAATTAAATGTAGTCAATCAACCAAGAAAGAAAAAAAAACATTAAAGCCTAATGGGCAAAACAACAATTACAACACAGCACGTGTTCAACGGTGCTGGCATGAGGAGTTAACAATACAGTCAACACCCAGCAGTATGCAAGATTTGGATAAATTACCATTGCATTCACAAATATAGTAGAAACAAAAAATTAACTACAAAAATCAGGATAACTGGTGCAGTGCATTATATAAATAGCAAGATACATGAGAATGTGGTTCATATAACATCAGTGCAAGACTAAATTAATGTGTTTATTATTTTTCTAGTAGTTGTTTCTTTTCTTTACCTTTTTTCTTTCTGGCATGCCTCATTACTCTTTTTATTTGTTTTGTTCAGATACAGTAGAAAAAAATAAATCTCATCTGTCTTCTTGGACATAAGATTTTGCTGGAAATACATACAATCTGGACTCCATTTGTTCTTTTTCACTCAGAGACAATCATGCTTCGAGGAAAGCATTTGATTCTGTCAGTGACATAACATACTCTTCAGCAGGTTCATTTTATGGTAATACCCAACACATGTGGACTAACGCTCCGTTTTCCCACTTATTCCTCACAAACTTTTGCTTGTTCTGGAAAGTGATTACACAGGTATGAACTGTTCGCTTTAAAGTGTAAAACAATCGAAGTCACGCGTCCAACAATAAGTCGGTTGTGACAGAAATACAAACGACGTTATGATTTGAAATTTCTAACAGCCAACAGCATGTGGACTCAGTCTGTCTTTTCTTCTCTGAAACATCAAACATCCGCATCGCGTAAATGACGTGAGGAAAGAACTAATCTTTGACGGCTCTGTAATGGGCAGAAACTGCATTCATGTGGTCAAGGGATCAGGATTATTTGACATGAACACCACCCCATCACTCAGCACATGCAGAACAGTCATGGTGATGCAAAAAAGAAAGAAAAATACAAGCATGGAAAAAAGATGTAATGACCTTTTTCTTTCTACTTTGTGGTTTTGCATTCGAGTTCAGGTTACCGCCACAGGACTTATACTTATTTTGAAATCCTTTTGATGTACACTGTGAGATTACATTAAAAACAAATGCACACCTACCAGCCTTTGAAACCATGTGCAGCTCTATGTGATTGATATCAAATGAACCAAAGATGAATGAAAGCCATAAAGTTATCACGTCATAATTTATGGTTGATTTTGGATCACACGCACCGATAGATGTGAGGTACTCAACTAAGACTTTCATTCCTGTGACTGTGAAACACGTACAACATTTGAAATGATACATTACAATATTCAAAGTACATTCTTACAAAAATGAAATAATTCAGAAGTTTGCTAAACATTTCTGTAAATGCAAAACTTGCTTAGGCCTTCTATTTGTGATCACTTCTTGAACCAACATACTGGTGGAATCACCTAATGATCCCCATATGTAGCTGTTACATCCTGTGAGGCTGTGGGAGTGTGTGGGTGGGGTGTTTGCCCACTCTCTCCGCCTCCTCCTCTCTTGCCACTCCTACCCTCTCTGTCTCTCTCACTCTCCTCTCTCTCCCCAGGACAGCTGTTTTTGATAAGCCTCGTTTGCCACCTGAATCCAGTCAGCAATCACCTCTGAGGCTATTTAAGCTGGGGATGAGCTGTGAGCAAGGTGGGTTTTTCACCTCGTGATGCGATGCAGTTTCTGCTAGGTTTTGGACAGACAGCCTCCTAGTGAGTAGATGGGCTTGTGGGCCCTGGAAGTGTCTCCCTTATTTGTTTGGTAGCTTTTTCTTTTGTTGCTGCCAGTGTTTCCTTTGTTTCTTTGGCATTATTGGTAAAACGGCGTTGATGGCTCTTTAAGTTAACGTCATTTGTAATAAAACTATATTATTTGTAATAAAATTATATTATTATTATAGAACAACTCTGTCTGTTTATCTTCAGGTCAGCCACTAACCAGAAAGTCGGTGGTTCAATCCCAGGTTGCTCCAAGCCAAATATCCTTGGGCAAGATACTAACCCCATGTTTGCCTACTGGTGGTGGTCAGAGGGCCCGGTGGCGCCAGTGTCCGGCAGCCTCGCCTCTGTCAGTGCGCCCCAGGGCAGCTGTGGGCTACAATGTAGCTTGCCATCACCAGTGTGTGAATGTGTGTGTGAATGGGTGAATGTAGTGTAAAGTGCTATACAAATGCAGGCCATTTACCATTTTACCATTTAAAGGATAAATATGGATAGAATCAGCTCAGTTGGGCACTGCTACACTAATCTCCATCCAGATATCCTTCAGCATGCATGGTGAGGGAATCGATCTTGGTCAAGGCTTACAGCTTCATACTGACCTTGTTGATTTCTGTGTCTGAAAGTTAGGTTAAATTGCAAGCAATCAACATAACAACAGGAATATAAATCAAAGAAAGTAAAGTGCTTAATTTAAAAACAAAGCAACCAAAAACACTTTGCTGGATTAGATGGTGGAAAAAAAGTCTCATTGGAATAATCTGCAGTTTGTTATGCTACTAATTAGTGGGTAGATTACTGTACATCTAATATTCTGTCCACAGTGATGTCTATAAAACACTTAATTTGCCTGTTGAATCTTTTAGCAGACCATGTTCCCTTTTTTACTGTTTCTGTAGTAGTTTGCCTGCATGCATGTGTGGTCATCTAATAACTTTGAAGCTGCAGTTACTGCTGCCAATAAGACATTAATGAAACTTACTGAAAAAAAGAGAGGAACTTGGAATCACTTAAAGGATGTTATTATTTTGGGGCCAAATAAAACGATTGCAGGTCTGCAACTTTTGTTATTCTCATAGTTGTTCATCAAGAAGGAGAGTAGAAGAACAGAAGGAGTATAATGTTTTTGTAAAACTGGTATGATAGTGTGCAAAAAATATTATAAATGCATTTAAAAACTATACAAATCAGGATAAATGAACCTGTATGGATTGGTTCTTTGCAGCTATACTACTTGAGTTGGTACAAACAGGCAGAATGATATCACATATAACATTTTAGGTTATTTAATGTTAGCTACAAACAGCTAAATAACACATTGTCCCTTGCACACTGTGGACTGGACTTGGCCATCATTTTCTCACCTGGTCTGTCTCCTCGCTCACCCCGTTCACCCTTCTCTCCCTTGAAACCCCTTTCTCCTCGGTTACCTGAGGACAAAACAGCACGAGACAACTGATTTACTGACAATGTCGATAATGATTACTTTAAAGAGTTTTATGTCACAGTACATGATGATTAAGCACGATGTAGTATAGAACATTTAGATAAAATATGAAATCAAGGAAAAAAGGAGGCTGGAACAGTAAGAGGTACTAAAAGGAAACAGCTGGAGGAACATTTTACAACAAAAAAGGTTAACTGGTAACAGGTCAGCACCATGATTGGGTATAAAATTGCATCTCAGAGTGGAGTTCTCAGAGTTTCTCAGAAGTAAAAGTGGGCAGAAGTTCAAAAATCTGAAAAAACAAAAAACCCAGCATCTACAAATTGTGGAACAAGAATGATATAAAATTGCAACTTTGACTATCTCGGGATCTACTTTACATGATTCATCAAATGATTCTGAGAATCTGAAGAAATTTCTGTACATAAGGGAATAGGCTGAAAATCAATCATTGGATGCCTGTGACCTCTGAGCCCTCAAACAGCACTGCATTAAAAACAGGCATGAATCTGTAGTGAAAAGCACTGCGTGGGCTCAGGAGCACTTCCAGAAATCATTGTGATTACAGCTCATTGTGCCATCCACAAATGCAGGTTAAAGCTCCTTCATGCGAAGAAGTCATATGTGAAGATCATCCAGATGCCTCTGGCTTCTGGGGGCCAAAGCTCATTTAAAATGGTCTGAGGCAAAGTGGAAAACTGTTCTTCTGTCAATGAATCAAGATCTGAAATTGTTTGGAAAACATGGAGACTGCAACCTCCAGACTAAAGAGGAAAGGGACCAGCTGGCTTATTATGTGCACTCAGGTCAAAAGCCTGCATCTTTGATAGTATGGCTGTGCATTAGTGTCTATGGAATTAGCAGCTTAAACACCTGGAAAGGCATCAGCAATGCTGAAAGGTATATACAGATGTTAGGGCAATATGTGCTCCAATTCAGACAACAGGCCTTGCGTATTTAAACAAGACAGTGCTAAACTTCATACTGCAGCTACAACAGCATGGCTTCATAGCATTAGAATCCTGGTGATAAAGTGGCCTCCCTGCAGTCCAGGACAACTAAAAACATTTGGCACATCATGAAACTAAAAACATGACAAAGAAGGCCTAAGATTGTTCTGCAGCTAGAAACGGATATCAGACAAGGATGGGAACTCATTCCTCCCCCAAAAGTTCACCAGCTGTTCTCCTCAGTTCCCAGATGTTTACAGACTGTTGTTAAATGCAGAGGGGATGTGTTACTATTATCAAATTCTAACATGGGGTATTTTCTTAAATTTTACACCCTTTCGTACTGAGCGTGTAAATTCAGTCATTATACTGATCTCTCAGAGAACCAATATGTTAGTAAATTTGTCATTACGAATAGAAATGATGGTAGATACTTAAGTTTTGTTTGTTCAGTTAGACTGAGTGATATTTGTCATATTTTCATCCTACTTTACACAAAATAACAGAAACCAGGGATATGAGTTTAGGGATTAATCATGAATAACTGAAACTTGTAAAAATTGTAACAACAAATCAAATTGTTTTCAGTGTTTTCTGTCAAAATTTGGTTTAGTGAAAAGGGAAGGAGAGTTGTCTGTATCATAATATCCAATAAAATCCTGGTTAAAGTTAAAAGGGAAGCAAGCTATGCATAAACTGAACACAACCAAGACTGAATTACACACAGTGCCAACCGCAATGTAGCACAAAATGGGGCAGAAATGAGGTGAAAAAACAAGCAGGACCAAGAGCCATAACCCTCAGAGATGAGGGTTATGGCTCTTGAGAGCAGCTCAACCACTGAGAAGTCTTAAAACATCTGAACCTTTTCTTCACTTCTCAATCATTTCCTCTCATTTGTATATTTTTAGCTAATGTCTCTTAAATCATGAGGCCTGTAATTGACTTCTCATACATGTGGCTACGCCCTGAATCCTCTTCTTAAATAAATTCTAAACATTGTGGTGTATATGTGAATATTAATGCAGAGAAGAGCTGAAAAACAAAATGAAAATGCACTGACAAAAATCTTTTTAAGGTAATTGCTTAGGCTATTACAACATGGATGGAAAAGTTAATGGGATACAAAACAGCGACATTATTGCAAGTAAAAATCCTTGCATTTGTGGTTTGTGTAAAATTACAGTACATTTACGCACGACACCTCTCCCCAATCAGAAGCTTGGATACGACTATGTCTTATTTGTTTTCATTTCAAAATATAATGTTATTACAAATTCCCATGAATTAGCCATCCAAAGTTGGAGAGCATTTCAGTTTCAGTGCCAGTTGCTAACTCTCAGCCATGAGGTTTAAAAACCACAAGTCTGTTTTTGTCATGAAGCAACGAGAGGATCGGCTTTGAATGGGCACTTATCCCACCTTTAATTTGACCACAGTGTAGGTGCAAGCTGTGGTGGTCCTCAGCCACATGTGTTACAGCCTGTGTGTGTGTCTAAGCAGGGCAGCTAACCCTTTATACACACCCTCCACGTGACGTCCTCAGCCTTCAGTGTCACTTCTATCCTGACCACATCCTTAACAACTAAATAACACTGCAGGGAAAACCTAAACACAGTGGTGGGCTACTGCTGAGCCACAAGAGACAACAGATGCGTCTGATTTAAACCCTCACTGAGTAATTTTGCATACTGGTGGTCCTGAAAGGCAGCAAAGGGTAAGATGAGGGGAATTTTGTAAGGTAATTTGAAGCCTTAGTACAAATATTTATGGTAACCCTCAGGATAAACTGTCATAACTTTGATTAGCATCACACTTTTCATCTAGTGCCAACAGCAAGTAAATTCTTAATTTATATTTTTGGCTTATGAACAAATACCTTTAATAAAAAACAAATGAGCGTCAGCTGTATTTACTATTTTGTGGTAATGAGCAAATTCAAGCATTCCAGTGTGCTAAACCAATATGGTCCACTGTCACAGCTACACTACACCTACTAAAGATCAGTATATTCATTATCACTGCATTCCAGTAAGTAATGGCTCTAGACTTTTAATAATGTTTATGTTCAATGTGACCCATTGTGGTTTTCTTTTTTTTTGTCAAAATGTTAAAATGTTCATGTCAGAAAAATTCTCAAGCCTAGTGACAACTGGCCAGTGGATTAAGGTGCAAGTCAATGATGCATTTAAATAATATGGGTATTCCCATAAGGTTAATTCACAGAGGCACAGATGCCATAATCCCAGCAAACATGGCTTAAAGAGACCCTGACATAATGTTGTGCAGGGTTGGCTGTGGCCCAGGTGGTTGAGTTTTACTAAAAAGTACTTTAAATGGTCAACTGAGGAGAAAGGTGTTATATAAGCACCTTCAAACTCTTTTCATTTGTATGACTAAAGTCTCATTTGTTGTACGGTGAACTTACAGTAACATGTCGGACTGTTAAAAGCATTATGTCTGACTGCCCCTTATGTCAGCCTTATAAACCATGTGATGCACAGTTAGCAAAGTAGCATAAGGGAGCAACAGGATGCGAGTTTAAGTCAACCTTGTGGTATACATTTTTTTCCTCTTTCCACCAGCATGAAAGGAAAGAAACGTATGGTATATCAGCAAAAAAAAAAAAGCAAAGACAAATATCAGCTAGACAGGGAAAATATTGTTATGCATTAATATAATTTTTTTAAAATCATCTTTTGATATGGCAATGAAACATTTTTGGGAACTATAGACTAATAAGAATCATTAGGTTACTTACATATAAGCCTGAAACAAGGCCAAAAGTTTTAAAGTTCTGAGATAAATCTGTAAAGGTCAGGCTTCAAACTGCTCTTAATGCAAGGTTTCTATTTATTTAATTGTATGATCAGCTAACAACAGCTCTTTACTAATTTTGGCCAGCTGTAAATCTGAAAAGGTAAGACAGCATGAGAGCCACAGAGAGACAAAAATAACATCTAGCTTATGAAAAAACACAAGACTAAAGACCCAAGCGGTTTTCCGTAAGTGTTGGTAGGAACCAAAGTAGAGTTGAAAGAAGTTGCCCTCCAGGGGCCAAATTGCTAAAATTTCTTTGTGTCTGCTTTATGTGTTAAACAGTTTGCTAACACGTTAGCAGTAAACACTTCACAATGTCACAGCACTTCAGAGTTGTCAGTTTTTTACTGTCCCCCAGTGGCTAAAAAAAGTCCAGCTTTACGCACCCAGAAATACCATAAAACACTGTCAGCAACCACAACTGATCTGACAACCAAAGGAACAGCCAACACCTTCTGCAGTCCCTATATATTCTTCCCACCGTTCATCTATAAAAAACCATGAGACTTCCCAGTGCTGTTTTTACAAGTTTTTTGTTTTCCCTCCTCCCTCCTGGATGACTGTCTTATACTGAGGCCCCATTCATAGCCGAGTCTCTCCAAAGCCTTCCTCCTTCACTGGTCTGTTAAACCTGAAACTGCACCACAGACGCGTAAAGCAGAAATACACACTACTACAAACTACCGGGATCTAGATGTGAAGTTTCCTGTGTCCTTCACTTTACCTTAATTTTTGTTTTTCTGTGTAAAATGGTTATTGGTGTGATGTTTTGTATTGCTCGGTACATAACTAAGTTGTCAATCAAATAATGCAGACAATGCCAGAGTTTTTGTAGGTGACAATCTTTTCACGCCTGCTTGGTCATAATGGATGTAAAGTGAGTTTTTTTCTAATGGCTTCAATCAGGCTTATGTCATACTATTAAAATACAGGACATGTTTAGCAATAAATTATAATTCCCTCTACTTTCAAGACATGAGTGACAGGCAGTGGTAGAATATGACACGCTATATGTATAAGAACAGCTTTTGTGAAACCCATGTTTAAGGACTCTTCATAGAGTCACTTTTTACAGTAAAACAGTAGTGGAACATGTCTGCTATCACTACAGATACATTATATTAAAGAGACATCACATAATGAGGAGATGTGGCACTCCTGAAATC